TATTCCCTAGAAATAAACCATTGGGACAGTATGTAGAAGAAAGCCAAATAAACTTTTCAAGCCACTAGTGATTCAATTTAACAAAAGCATCTTTGGTATTTGTATATACAGATTGCATTATTTATAATTAACTTCCTAAATCATATACTTCAGCAGCTTTCTAATTCCTTTGGCCTTCTGTCTCATTGAAAAGTTCAGTCACATTTGACAGCTCCAATCTGGCATTTTAAATGTGACAAACTGAGGCGCTACACTCATTCTTCAAACGACTTAGGTAAAGTGACACACACTAAAGCCTTCCATCCTGTGTCGGAAGTCACTATCACCAATGGCTCTAATAGATCAGACTCGCTGGAGCTGAACATTCCACTTTGTTATACTACTAGCACCTGCCTTGTCCTGATGAATTTTCACCTACTGAAAAAGATAAGCAGCTCTAACTAGCTGTTCTTCTTTAAATGTTTTGTGTTCCCAGTAAGCATAGTAGACTCTGCAGTTTGTCTTGATTCTATCTAATTTCTCTTTATAAAATCAGATACTCTAACAGCAATGAAAACAATAACAACAGTGCAGTTCAGTGGTTTAAGTCTTTCTGTTCATATAATAGTGATTCTTTTTAGCAATACGTCATTGCAAACTAGCTTGATGCTGTGCTTTATGCAAGAAAAAGTGTATAACTCAAAATACCCACAAATTCTCCTCCATTCATATTTAGCCTGACACTTATGCTGCATCTAACTTGAGAAATCCAATTTCTTTTTGTGACTGCAATCCTTGAGAATCTGTTCCTTAGCTGTTTCTCTTATATTTCCTTATGGTGGGATGATTTCCTTGCCATTACATTGTTCTTTCTATTGTAGTTAACTCAGATGGATTTTTTTTTTCAAAAACAAGACTCTTTTTATCCTGTTTCTCAGGTAGTGGGAATTGCACTGGATTTGGATTCTGAGATTTAGGGTTCAAATTCCAATTTTACTTTATGTTAACTGTGAATTTTTCCATTAGTTTCCTTATTGTAATATAAAGGGATTAGATAAGAGAATCTCCAATGTCCCTTCTAGTTCAGTTCCATTTGTATATTCCAAATACATATTTATGTATGCATATGTGTATAGCATGTATTCTATGCACACATGTGTACATACATACCTAAGTACAATACACATGTGTATGAATGCACACGCACATGCTGATACATGCAAATGTATTTATTCCCCCCACTGGTGTGACACAGAGCTTGCTTGAGGCATGTTTTCCCCTCAGGCAATGTTTTAAAATGGCCTCCTCTTAGGACACCGAAGTCTTTATACATTGACTGTAATACTTGTGATATTTCCTAGAATTAAAAAGGTGGGCATTTATTTTGAAAAGTAGTATTTAAAAATATCAAAAGCAGGATTAAAATACAAGTTCTCCTTACTTTAATCAACCCACCCCCTTGACATTATGTACTTTGTTCCCCTCTACCCCTCCCCACTCCAGTTTAATTGTTAAGGATTAACATTCCAATCAAACAATAATCAGCCAATACACATTTATTAAGCACCTAGCAGGTTCCAGACACTGCATATAGTGGAATATTTTAAGACAAAAAAAATTAATAAACTCTCTACTATTACAAATATTTAAGCTTATGGAATTTGAGGTGTGAAGCACTGCTTGTCTTCAGCTTGTAAAATTTCACCTTGACAAATGATTGTTTATTTACCTGTCAACCTGAAAGTTTGGTTAAAGAAGGCGAACAAGTTAGGTGATACATGATTATATAGTTTATTCCCTTTTAGCTAGTGAATCACGTTAACATGGAAGCCAGAATGTGATTCTGACTCGGAGATTAAGCAAAATGAGAGAGGTTTTATACAGTTTAGAGTGATCAGACTCAGGATGTCTGTGTTACAAAAAATACAGCCTCCATATGTTTGTCTAACATATAGCATGGGAAAGGAATTTTCTTAATTGAATAAGGTCGTAAATACAATAAAACAGAAGAATGTCAAAGTGTCAATAGAAACTTAAGATAAGAAAAGTCCAATTATTCAAGAGACTATCTGGTCCCAGACATCCTGGGCTTAGTTGATCAGTTCTATCTGTTCCTGGAATTTGCTGACACAGGAAGGGGGTGTTTTTAGTTCACTCACAGAGAAAAGGATTAATTCAGGTTTTTGGCCCTTATTGGGGCTCAATTGATCTTAAGTGATTATCATACCTCACTACCACATAGACCTCCTAGTTATAATAAGCATGGGATTGTGGAATTCTGCACATGCAAAAGGCCAGCTCTATGTACTTAGTGAGGTTGCCATGAAGTGCAAATGAGGTACCGTCTCAAGGTGCTTTGCAAACCCAAACATTAATCTCGTTAAATTATTTGTAGTGGAGACTATTCTTTTTTATTTTTTTCTCCTCCACCATCTCGTTTTGTGAGGGTTTGGGCAGCATCTTTGTGAAGTTCTCTTTATCTTAGATATGATGGGAAGCAGTCCCACATAATTTGAATGTCTCCCCCATTTGCCCAGAGGGAAAAAAATCTTAGAAAATTGGAGCAAAAATAGAGGTGCTTTGGTAAGTTTCTATGCTCTAGGGAGTGGTCACTAAAGCAACAGAAGAACCATCCAGATGCTTGAGGAAAAGAAGACAACCTGTTTTATGGGTACTGAGTCTCCTGACCTGCTTGGAGACCAGAATGATAGAGCATGTTCTTTCTTGTTGGACTTCTGGGAGGGCAGAGGTGGTAAGAAATGGGGGGAAAATGCCATAATAGAAGTCCTGTTGTTTGTGCCTGCTTAATGTAGCTTAAATGTGGAGAATTAAAAGGAAAATTTTCTTTTAAGACAGGGCAACCTTGGTAGTGCTAGGATGAGGACTATGAATGACTGGAAGAATCTCAAGGTTTGAAGTTAAAGGCTGTGGAGAGGGTAAAGGAGGCACATGCTTAGTGAGTAAAGAGACAAAATTTTCTGGTAACCTATGATAAGCAATGACTGAGGCTATATAGTACTAAAATGTCTATGCTATTAGTGTTTAGAAGACTTTTGAGATGCCTTGTCTTTGGGAAAGGAGGTGTTTAATTCTAGAAGTTTTTTTTTTATGAACACAGTTGTGAGTCCTCTTTGTTTTCATTAACCTATGAATAAAACTTTTATTTGAGTCTTGTGAACTCTGTACTTCCAAGAAGGAGTGGAGGTGGATGAGGTTAATAACAGCACCTGCAATAGCAACAACAAAATTGGTTAGTCTAGTAGAGAGAGTTTCCCAGATTTGGGGTATGGGGCAGTGAACCAGAGCTGAGATGCAAAAGTCCCTGCATCCCTCCACTCTCCCAGCCCTTTATGTCCTCTGAGATCTTTTGATAAAAGGGTAACAATATTACGCATTTCACAGTTAATAAGATCATTTTCATACTTGAGTTTCATGTAACAGAATTTGGTTTAATAAGCAAATAAAAATGAAGTTGGATGGGTACTTAAGTGTTCATCTGTCCTGCTCCCAGATTCAGACATTAATGGTCATCAGTGCTTTTTAAAATGATCCCTAGGGATGGAAATTTCATAGCCTTCTTTACAAGCTTGTCCTAAACTTTAATTGTCCTGTAGTATAAGAATTATTTTGTGTGTCTCTCTAAACTGTTTGTCACAACATTTGTAAGCTGTGTTTGTCATGTTTATTTCTCTGTAGAGATAGTGAACAATTGGTCTGTGCTTATCTTTTAAGAATCATTTCTACACTAGAAGACGAGTTATTGTCATGCCTTTGCCTTATTTTTTACATACTCAACAATTATATTTGTCCATTGTACAAAATATATCTTCATGTACATTATTTTCTATATACTTAATCATTTTCATTTCTCTTCCCTGGACTCTCTTCAAATTTTAGTTATTCTCCTAAAGAAATTAATTTTGTTTCCTACTATCACATCCAATACATAATGGAGGCTCTGAAAATTGCTGTAAATAAAAATTTTTTTTCTTGCTGTCCATACAGAATGTTACAGATAATATCCCAGTATCCAGTGAGCTTTGTTATCCTACATTTTTCACTGTGTCCAGGATAGACTCTGCAAGTTTAATAGAGCAGTTTCTTTGCTCCAAACTTTATTGTGATATTTTGATATAATAGAAAGAATATTATTGAGCTAAGTGGTACAGTGGAAAGAATTTGGACTTGGAGTGAAGAACATCTGAATTTAGATTCTCCCTTAGAAACTTACTAATTTAATTGTAGAACCCTGGGCAATGACTTAAACTCTGTCTGCCTAAGTTTCCTCATCTGTAAAATGAGACTAATAATAGCATCTGTCTCTCAGGATTATTGTGAGGATCAAATAAGATAGTACTTGTAAAGTATTTTGCAAAATTCTTAAAGTGCTATCATTATTATTATTATTATTATTATTATTATTATTATTATTGTTATTATTATTTTCTTTTTGGTGAGGCAATTTGGGTTAAGTGACTTGCCCAGGGTCACACAGCTAGCAAGTGTGAGGTCAGATTTGAACTCAGGTCTTCCTGACTCCAAGGCCAGAGCTCCATTCTCTGCACCACCTAGCTGCTCCTTTATTATTATTATTATTATTAATTGTTAAGAGTGTGAGTGGATTGTGAGGAAAGATAGCTTTCACAGCCATTGTGAACATCATGTCTACCCTTTCTATTTTACTACAAGTATAAGGTGGTGTGTTAGTGATGACGGCAATAGAAGAAAGAAGCAAAAATAGTAGTGCCAGGAATTTGTGATTTCATATGGAATCCATTATATTTTGGATATATTAGGAGCACTTTGATTGCAAGCACCCAGGGGACAAGGGCTATGTCAGTTTGTTTATGTTCCTTATAGCATCTGGTACATTGTAGGTATACAATGAATATTCATTGATTGATTCCCCACTCTTTTCCCATACTTTATACAGTTTATATTTAGTCTCCTAAAATCATTCCTAGATTTCATGAATTTTCTAATACTTTAATTTTCTATATCACACATTTTATTTCCTCTAGCCTGGCCCTCCGGAAAGCATGCACCTGGTTCCTGGGGCAGTTAATCCCACTCAATTTTGAAACTCCTAAACTGATAATCTGGGTCTGAGCTCTCTTGATTGGTAAGTGAATGAATGCAAATTTAATTAGCCCACTATTGTCTTTTTGTTGCTTATTGTTGTTGTTCAGTCTTTTCAGTTTCAGTCATGTACAACTCTTTGTGACCCCATTTAGGGTTTTCTTGGGAAAGATACTGGAGTGGTTTGCCATTTCCTTTTGCAGCTCATTTTACAGATGAAGAAATTGAGGCAAACAGGGTTAAGTGATCTGCCCAGGGTCACACAGCTACTAAGTGTGGGAAGCTAGATTTACACTAAGGAAGATGCCTTCCTGACTCCAGACTTTGTGCTCTATCCTCTGTACCTGTCACTTTCATGGAATCTGCTCCAAATCAGACCATGCTTCATCTTCTATCAAACTGCTTATTCAAGATATCTTGCCTTTTCCCATGCTGCCCTGAACATATTCATACTATTTTTCCCCCTTTAAAAAAAATTTTTTTTCTTTCGTCTTTTGCTCCAGGCACAGTAATCAAATTAATGCTATCTTATTTCTGGAAAGGGCAAGCCAGAGATTTTTTAAAGTTCCACCCACTTTCCTGGATCTACTTCATTATTGTCTCCCTCTATTAGAATGAGGAATAGGGTTGACTCTAGTATGACTTCACTCCTAATGGTACTCTGTCTGGCTACCTGCATGCTTTCCTCTTTTCATTACCCCACCCCAAGCTGAATTTCCCTAGGCTAGTTACAGCTCCGAATATACTCTTTTTGTATTTTTTCAAATAATAACTAGAAAAGTATTAGCCACAAGGTACAAAGCAGCTCAATAAATATAGTTAGGTTTAATTGAATCTACCATTTCCCTAATTTTTTGAGATTACTCTGAATTCCATTATGTCCTCCTAGATATTAGTAACATTTTCTTTTTTCTGCTGAAACTTAAAGACTTTTTTTTTTGCAGGTAATTGAAAATAATACCTGTCACTATTTGACAAAAATTCCTGGGAAAATTAGAAAGTAGTTTAGCAGAAAGTAGGCATAAACAAACACTCACACCATATGTCAAAACAAGGTCAAAGTGGGCAAATGATTTAGACATAGTGAAAGTAAATTAAGGGAGCATGGAAAAATGCAACTGCCAGGTCTATGTATAAGGGAAAAGTTTTTAATCAAACAAGAGACAGAGAAGATTATGGAAAATAAAATAGTTCATTTTGATTATATGAAATTAAAAAGGTTTTACAGAAACAAACTAATGCAAAATGAGAAGGAAAATAGGAAGGTGGTAAAAAATTTTATAGCAAGCTTTTCTGATAAAAGCTTAATTTCTCAAATATATATATAGGGGACTGACCCAAATCTATATAAAAAAAAATAGAGCTATTCCTCAAATGATAAATGATCAAAGGATATGAACAGGCAGTTTTCAGAACAAATTAAAACTTGATAGTTACATTAAAAACTCACTAAATCACTACTGATTAGAGAAATGCAAATTAAAACAACTGTGAAGTACTACCTCACACCTCTCAGATTAACTAATAAAACAGAAAAGGAAAATAACAAACACTGGGGAGGATGTGGGAAAAGGTACATTTAAAATTATTTGTTTAGCATTTTATTTTTTTCCAAATATGTGTAAAAATAATTTTTAACATTTGTTTCTAAAAATTTTGAGTTCCAAATCCTTTCCCTCTCTCCCTATCCCTCTCATTGAGAAGGCAAGCACTTTAATATAGGTTATACATGTGTAGTGATGCAAAACATATTTCCGTATTAATCATGTTGTAAAAGAAAACATAGACAAAAAAATCCAAGAAAAATGCAGTAAAAAAAAAGTATTCTTTGATCTGTATGCAGATTCTATCAGTTCTTTCTTTGGGTAAGGATGGCATTTTTCATTATAAGCTCTTCAGAATTGTCTTAGATCACTATATTGCTGAGAATAGCTTATTCACAATCATTCATCTTACAATATTGCTATTACTGTGTACAATGTACTCTTGGTTCTACTCACTTCACTTTGCATCTGTCTTTCCAGGTTTTTCTGAGAGCATCCTGCCCATCATTTCTTATAGCACAATAGTATTCTATCACAATCATATACCACAACTTGTTCAGCCATTCCACAACTGATGGGCATCATCTCAATTTCCAATTCTTTGCCACTAGAAAAGAGCTACTACAAATATTTTTGTATGTATATGTTCTTTTACTTTTTAGCTCTTTTAGGATACAGACCTAGTAGTGGTATTGTTGGGTCAAAGGATATATATGGTTTTTATAGCCCGTTGGGCATAGGTCCAAATTGTTCTTCAGAATGGTTGAAGCAATTCCCAACTCCACCAACAATGCATTAGTTTCTCAATTTCCCCATATCCCCTCCAACATTTATGATTTTCTTTTTCTGTCATATTAATCAATCTAACAGGTATGGGGTAGTACCTCAGGATTTTTTAAATTGGCATTTCTCCAATAAATAGTGATTTAGAGCATTGTTTCATAGGGCTATAGATACCTTCATGTGAAAACTGACTTCATATCTTTTGACCATTTGTCAACTGGGGAATAGCTCTTACTTTTTATAAATTTGTTCTCTACATATATGAGAAATGAAGCTTTTATTATAGAAATTTGCTTCAATTTTTTTTCAGTTATGATTGCTATGATTGTATTTCTATCCATCTTGTTTCCCCGTGTATCCTATTTTCTCTCTCCTTTCACCCTATCCCTCCTTAAAAATGTTTTGCTTCTGACTACTGCCTCTACCAATCTGCCCTTCTTTCTATCAACTAGACCCCTCCTTTTATTCCCTTCCTCTCCTATTTTCCAATAGGGTAAGATAGATTTCTATACTCAACTGAGTCTGTTTGTTATTTCTTCTTTGAGGCAATTCTAATGACAGTAAGGTTCAAGCATTCCCTGCCACCACCACCCCCATCTTCCTCTTCAATATAAAAGTTCTTTCTTGCCTCTTTCATGTGAAATAATTTACGTCATTATATCTCTTTTTCTTTTTCTCCCAGCACATTCCTTTTTTTGCCTCTTAATTTTATTTTTAACGTATCATCCTATCATATTCAACTCACACCTGAATGTTCTGTTTAGATTCCTTCTAACTGACCTAATAAAGAGAATGTTCTTATGAGTTACAAGTATCATCTTCCTATGTAGGACTGTAGTTTAAACTTATTAAGTACATTATAATTTCCTTTCCCTGTTTATATTTTTATGTTTCTCTTGAGTCTTATATTTGAAAGTCAAATTTTCTATTCAGCTCTGGTCTTTTCATCAGAAATTCTTGAAAGTCACTTATTTCATTGAATATCCATTTTTTCCCCCTGAAGGATTATACTCAGTTATGCTGAGTAGGTGATTCTTGGTTGTAATCCTAGGTCCTTTGCCTTCTGGAATATCATATTCCAAGCCCTCCAATCCTTTTTTTAAATAGTATTTTATTCTTTTTTCCAGTTGCATGACAAAAAAAACCTTTTAGCATTCATTTTTCCAAGATTTTGAGTTCCAAATTTTTCTCCCTCACTCCCCCCTCTTCTGAAAATGGTATTTTGATATAGTTTATACCGGTGCTGTAATGTAAAAATATTTCCATATTAATCACAGTTGTGAAAGAAGAAACAGATTAAAAGAAAAAAAAAGTACGAGGAAGAATGAGCTAAGTGAAAAAAAATTTACTTCTATTTGCATTCAGAGTCCATTTATTCTTTATCTGGAAATAGCATTTTCCTTTGTGGGTCCTTTGTACTTGTCTTGGATCATTGTGTTGCTGAGAAGAGCTGAGTCATCCATAGTTGATCATCACACAGTGTTGCTGTGTATATTGTGTAAAATGATTTCTTAATTCTGCTAATTTATCTTTGCATCAGTTTGTACAGGTCTTTCTAGGTTTTTCTGACTTCTGCCTGTTCATCATTTCTTACTGCACAATATTAATCCATTACATTTATATTTGCTCAGTTTGTTCAGCCTTTTCTCATTTGATGGACATCCTCTCAATTTCCAATATTTTGCCACCATGAAAAGAGCTGCTATAAACATTTTTGCACGTGTAGATTCTTCCCCCTTTTTTATGATCTCTTTGGCATACAGACCGAATAGTGGTATTGCTGGATCAAAGGGTATGGCACAGTTTTATAGGCCTTTGGACATAGTTCCAAATTGCTCTCTAGAATGGTTGGATCAGTTCAATACCCCACCAATAGTATATTAATTTTCCAATTTTCCCACATTCTTTCCAACATTTATCATTTACCCTTTTTTTCATGTTAGCCAGTCCAATAGATATGATACCTTAGAGTTATTTTAATTTGCATTTCTTGAATCAAAAGTTATTTATAGCACTTCTTCATATGCCTATAGATAGCTTTGATTTCTTCATCTGAAAACTGCCTGTTCATATCCTTTGATCATTTGTCAATTGGGGAATTACCTGTATTCTTGTAAATTTAACTCAGTTCTCTATATACTTGAAAAATAAGGCCATTATCTGAAACACTGGCAGTAAAAATTGTTTAGCAGCTTTTGGTTTTCCTTGTAATCTTGTTTGCATTGGTTTTGTTTGTGCAAAAGCCTTTTAATTTAATATAATAAAAATGATCTATTTTACATTTTGTAATGCTCTCTGTTTCTTGTTTGGTCATGAATTTTTCCCCTTCCCATAGATCTGACAGGTTGACTGTTCTTTGTTCTTCAAATTTTCTTATGGTGTCATCCTTTATGTCTAAATCATGCCAAAGGTTTGTCATATGTAATTTTTCAATCATTTATTTACCTACTTAATTTCTTTTTTAATTTTTTTGGTTGGATTTGTTGAGTTCTGAGAAGGGACAGTTGAGGTCCCTTGCTAGTACAGTTTTGCTATTTCTTCCTGTAACTCATGTAACTTATCCTTTAAGAATTTGGATACTAGACCACTTGGTATATATATGTTTAGTATTGATATTGTTTCATAATCTATGGTACCTTTTAGCAAGATGTAGTTTCCTTCCTTATCTCTTTTAATTAGTTCTGTTTTTGCTTTTGCTTTGTCCAAGACAGACCAGCACAACTTGGCAGTAGGTAGAGGCCAAAATTAAAATAGGCTAAACTTCTTCAGGTCACAGATAGGTTTTTAGTGGCTCTCTTTCTAAGTAAAGGTATAATTAATGATTAAATGATTTTGCAGATAAACCACATTAAAAAAGGGAAATTTCAATTAATATCAATTAAACTTATTACTTAAGATTTTTATTTATCATGAAATAATATTATTGTCAAAAAATTACTTTGCTAAACAGTACACATTTTAATACATTTTTCAGGTTTTCTTACTGTTTACATTAAGTTAATGGAACATATTACACTTCTCGTCAGCAGTTTATCATATTCTGGAATCACACTTGAAATCGACTTCTTTAGAAATCTGAAAACTAACTTTAGTAACTGCCTTATTTTCTGAGTTTACTTTCTTAAAAAAAAACATTGTTCCCCACTGAGAGGCTGTTTACCTTGTGGATCCTCCTATCTGGTGCTGTGCTGAGTGGGTAAAGTGGTGGCTTTTGCTGCTGGAGGCCATAGGTATCTGGCAGCTAACCTGGTGCTAAGCTGGGGTCCTAGTGGTGGTGTCTGGCATGAGCTAATGCCTGGTGGGGTGTTTCTGTGTTTCATCAGGGCTACCTTGAAGCACATGGAGGTCTGGCCACTGGGATATGCTGAAGCACGTGGTGATACTCAGAGCTGGGGTCTACCCATTCCCCTGGCTATACTAAGGCTCGTGGGAGATCCTGATGTTGGTGTTTGTCTGCTCCCTTCCTTATCCTCTTCCCTCTTCCTCTATCCTTAGTCTTTTATTTCTTTCTGAATTTAGAAGACTTTTACACCCTTCTAGATATGTATGTGTTACTCACTCTTTAACCCATTCCTGATGAGAGTAGGGTTCCAGAACTACCATTCCTCCTCTTCCATCTAATTCCTCCATCACTTCTTCCTCTTGCACCTCATTTGTATAAGATAATTACTCTTTTTACCTTTTCTAAGAGATCATTACTTTTTTAGAATCACATGATACTCAGCTCTAATCCAATCTTTCTTTTGAACTACCCAATTACTAATTAGAATCTTAGACATACAGCTTATATTTCCTTATATAAAAAGTAAACAGTCTGTTCTTACTGAGTTGCTTGTAATAAGTTTTTTGTGTACTTTATATTCTTCTTGGATCTTATATGTCAAATTTTGTATTAAATTCAGGTCTTTTTGCAATAAAATTCTGAAAGTCTGGCAATTCATTGAATATCCATTTTTCCTTCCTTCCTTCCTTCCTTCCTTCCTTCCTTCCTTCCTTCCTTCCTTCCTTCCTTCCTTCCTTCCTTCCTTCCTTCCTTCCTCCCTTCCTTCCTTCCTCCCTTTCTTTCTTTCTTCATATTATGCCAGCCCCAGTTCTCTTGCTCTTCAATATATGGGGGAGTTTATTTTAGGAAAAATAAAACAGCTATGAGTTTGAGCAAAATTAGTCTGAGCCCCCAATTAGGAATGTTGTCAACATTTATATACATATTAGCCTGTCTGACTTAATTCACATTTATTTCTATCTCTAATAAACTCCCGACCTCTTTGTGGGTCAGCCAAAATTTATGTTATTGGAAATATTTGGGTAATATAATAACAGCTTATAGTATCTGTGAATAGACTGGCAGCAGGAGGTGAAGTTTGAGAAAGAACAGAAGCTTTCATGAGAGTCCTTTTGTTTCTTGGGTTATTAGGTACACTGGTATCATCAGCTGAAGTCTTGAACTCCTACATACCTATAGGATTAATGGCCTTTCTTAATCTCTCTCTCTCTCTCTCTCTCTCTCTCTCTCTCAATTACAGTCTTATTTTCTTTTTTGTTGTTTGTCTCTGGGCCATTAGGTTTTTTTTTTTTTGGCTAGGCAATGGGGTTAAATGACTTGCCCAGGGTCACACAGTAGTCAGTGTCAAATGTCTGAGGTCAGATTTGAACTCAGGTCCTCCTGGCTCTAGGGGTGGTGATCTATCCACTGCATCACCTAGCTGCCCCACAAACAGTTCTTTTTTGGCTCTTCTTGGTATGACCTTATTCCTTCTTCTCAGCTTCCATACACTCAGAGTCTGTATCTGGTTCTGAGATAGTGTCTCCCTTTTATTTGAATTCTTGAGGTCATACTCAGTTATCTTGCATAATTTGGTTTGTTCTAGGAGGTATATAGGCACTGTTTAAATTCTGTTCTGATAAATTTGATCAAGAATATTTTTACCTAACAAAGATCATTACCTTTTAGTAGAGCAGGATTATCAATGGAGCCCTAAACCACATTTGCCAGTTTGTAGATGGGTTAGCCCATTTGAAAATAGGCTTTTCTCTACTTTTGAGTATTGCTGTAAACAGATCAGACAGTGATCATGGAGAATCATTTTAGTATAGTGGTAAGAGTGCCATACTTAGTGTAAAGAGACCTATGTTTGAATCCTGGTTCTTACAAGAGTATGGGGATGTGAGTGGACCACCAATTTCTCTTGGTCAATCTATTTTTCTATAAAAAGGGCATAATAATACTTGTGATTTTTACCTTGTAGGACTTTAGAAGGAAAGTGGTAAACCATGATATGCTTTCTATAAAAACATGAAATTCTCTTAGTAGATGGAGAGACATCCACAGAAGCATTCAGGAAAACTTTGGCTCAAATCTCACCCCTGACACTTACTGCTGTGCAATGCTGGGTAAGTCACTTAACCTCTCTATAACCTAAGCAACTCTCTAAGATTTCATGTTGCAAGGAAGTTTCCACTTTCCTTTGGTAGTAAAAAATTCCCACAAAGAGATCCCTACAGAAATGAAATGACAGGATGAGTTTAAAAAAATAACATTTCTTTAGCCAAACGTGTTATGATATCTAGTTACTTAAGGAAACATAGAATTTAGAGATTAAAGGAGGGACCTTAAATATTTCAGCCTGAGAGTCTATTTCAACCTGAAAATAGTAAAATTAATGTATTTAAAATTTTATAATATTGACTTCAATAAACTCAAACTCTCTTTCAGTCAGTTGACTTCTGGCTTCAAGATTACTTCTTTCACCACTACACCAGACTGTCTTTTTTTTTTTTCTATTTTGCACAGTAACAATGATATAATCTTTCATTTAAGTGGGTCCAATGGATATATTCCTAACTCTAGGTACTCTTAATTTTTAGCATACATGCACACATGTACTAATGAGTAAATTCATAGACTAAGATGAAAAGTTCCTAAAATTCTGATTTTATGTTATAGAGATTTACAGTGATGATGATTAAAAAAAATTTTTTTTGGTGACCATACTGGCTACATATGACTCTCCAATCAAATGCTTTGCTGAAACTAGTTGCTCAGGATGTTATAAGAACATTTGATTCATCTGTATATTCCAAGTCTTTTGGAATGATGTAGCAATCTCATGAGACTTAAATCTAATATGTGACAGTTTTTATTCAGATATTTATTATGCAAAAAAGTCATCTTGGCAGAAACTTGATGAGTTCTATCATTTTTATGTAGTATATCGCTCTGAGGAAGTATATTTATTGACTGTTGGGTGAAAATGTGATCTTTATGCAAAATGGTTTTGTAAAGCAACATCTGCTGTTTGCTTTGGGGATACATTTACACAACAGTGTTGGCAGAGTTATAAGAAGAGGTTAATTTAAGATTCTAAACATTTCCTTAAGACAGTATAAGGCAATTTGGCTTTGCATGGACTGAGAGGGAAATTCTCCCAAGGCTACAATGATTTGAGAAATATTTGGTATTATTTTAACTATCAGACAAATTTTAGAGAAAAGCAAATGAGTTTTGACAGAATCATAACAAATTCAATACTTTGTAGAGCTCTGAATTAAAATACCATCTGAGTTGTGAGGAAAAATAATTGTACATGGCTTTGTAGCTAGTCTTATATCTGGGTGTCTAAAATCGATGCCAGAGGAAGTGGGACCAATTATGATAAGGCAAAAAGTCACCTATCAGAGACAGAGAATCCAGGGTCAGAATCCAATATTGTAATGGGCAGGAAGTGCTAAAGGAGAAACATAAATATTTCTGAAGGAACCGAAAAGAGAAAAAATAGTTCATCATATAAAAGGGCTTAAAAAGAGTCATTTGAAGTTGTGAAGAGAGAACGAATTTCAGCAGTAAAGGTACTGATGAATGGTAAATAATGCTGCCATACATTGCTTTCCAACAGCTAATTTATATCCAATTCATGCAAAAGTCAAGACATGATGACATGTCATTGGTCCTCTTCAAAAATGAAGGACAAAATAACTTTATACAACTATTTTTAAGAATTGTAAGTTTATTTCCAGTAACTCTCAATAACAGAACTGTTTTTGGATTATGGGAGTATTATATTATAACTGCGTCATATCTACCAGAAATGTGTATTTTGGAGTCCTCAATTTGTTATAGATGGAGAGTCACTGATTTGAGGCCTTAAAAGCCATATAACAAGGAGAGTCATAGAAATCAATGAAAGGAGAAACTTACAGAAGATAAGACATAAGAACACAGAAGCTGAAAGAGCTGAGGAACTAACAGGAGTTGAGACCAGCTAACAAGAAAAGGATTGTGATATGTTAGGCTTGTGATCTATTTGAATGGATAAGGTACATGGTTGGATTGTTATGCTCTCATTATTGATATTTTTGCTTTCTCTTTAGTAAATATTATTGATATGTGAGGGGATTAAAATTGTCCAACCTACAATAAAAGAGACTGAGGCAGAGCTCTAAGCCAATGGTACTGTATTAAAGGGTCCATGATCCCCTCTAATGAAGTGGATTTCAGATCTTCCTCATGATTTAACACATCCACTCCTTTCAGGGCCTTATTTTTATAAGGCTTGATACAAGATTTTGTACTTGAATGTTCTAGAGGGGCTACACAAAATACAGAATTCCACTGGTTGATGGACTTTCCTTCAAGGGCCAAAAACAATGGATCATCAGAGGGGTCTCTGGTTGGGTGAAGCATGGGACATCTCTATTGACTAAGTGGTCATAAGATAGACCTACTCATGTGGCACAGGACAGAGTGGTCTGGAGATATAAAAATAAATTGGTGGACTTTCCATGATTACATGGAATTAAGTCAATTCTGCCACGCTGGTCACCACAAGGAAAAACAAGGGTAGAGGGTCTCTAGCTTCCTATGATTAAGCAAGTGAATCTGCAGCTCACAACTCTGGGGCCTAATATACAGAATTTATAATCACTACCCCTATGGAATCATAGCAAACTGATTAATACTTATTGGAATAGAGTAGGGGTCCAAATGAATTATTTCTCATATACGATTGTTTGATTTTTTTCATCTTCTCATTTATTAAATGTTTCATTCTTAAGAATGGTGCAATTGTGACTAATTCGTTTAAGTGTGAAGCACACTGATAGGGGGTTCAGTAAGTGTAGTGGGGAGTGTTGAGATATTAGGAGATACCCCTGTTTTCCAGAGCTAACGCCAGCAAGCAAGCTGTGCTCTGAGCTTTGTATAGCAATGATCCTTTGCATCACCCTCTGGATGATATCACCTTCTGGCAAAATCCCATAATTATTGTATTGCTTTGACCAGCACCAGATGTTCTCTGAACTCAGACAAGCACTGGACAAGCTCAGGCAAGTTCTGATCATGAAGTCCTGCTAAGAATCAAACTTGCCGCATTGTTAGCCCTCACAGTCAATTCACTGCATAGCTACTGGTATAAGTGTTGAGATTTGCTCACATTAAAGTGGGTCTTCCAACCAGGGATGGGGCCACAGAACTTGTCTAATATGCCTCCTTGCTTGCAAGTCATTTTCCTCACTTTGAAATTAAACTTCTGTTTGATTCTTGACTCTCCTGTCTCTTGCCTGCTCTGCTCTGGCCATTCACAGGTTAGAAGCTGGTTCTGTCCAGTTGACAGGAATAATGAGTGTATTCCCAGCAACTAAGGGGTTTGTATACCACAATTTGTTCAGTCACTCCCCACTTTTTTGCATTTCTTTGCTTCCACAAATAGTTCTGAGTACATTTCCCCAGTATATGCTTGTGTGTGTGTGTGTGATGAGAAAGTGTAACACAAGAGTTACATAATCATGTCTACTTCAACTCATCTCATAAAACTAAACAGGGATACTCATCTCCTATGTTTGTATGAGGAGTCATAATGACCATTCTATTATGGTTGGTAGGAGTCAATTACTCCACGTGATGCATATTTTCTATTGTAAAGTTGTATAAGCAGAATTCTGGAAGGGTCATTCTCATTTTGAGGGATAGAAAATAGAAAGAAGGTTAATCAGTAATGATCTGTGATATAACTATTCACTGAGTTGAAAATGAATGTTATCTCTGAGATGAGAAACTGGGCTTTAAAGGCTCCTGAAGAGTGCATGCTTTGAAAAAGAAAGGCAACTTATTTTTCAATTGTCACTTGTAGAAAGCAGTCATAGAATATACATGTTAGAGGATAAGATGGTGTTTGCTATTATGATCACATGACTCCAGTTTTTAAAGGAACTAAACCTAGACTAGAATAAGAGGCAAAGGAGCTTTCACCTAAAGAACACAATCAGTTTTAACAAACAGAAAAATGTCCCAACTCAAACTCAAAGATCTGAGACAAAAACTGTTATTTTTTCTCACTATCAGATTTTAAAAAGTGAATAGAGTGCTGTTTTGTTTTAAGAGGATGACACATTCTTATCAATTGCAATAGTAGTGACCTATAAAAGACTTCACTAATTTCACAAAATAAAGCTTTGTGAATTTTACCAATTTGTAGTCCAAAAGTTACTTAAAACTTATACGGAATTTTATAGAACTTCTACCTGTCACATCAGATAATTTCTATGATACAACTTTTTCATTAGTTCTAACTTCCTTTGCTTTTGACTTTTAAAAGAATGTTAGAAATTAGCATTAATTTGCATAAAATGGCTCAACTGTGTATCCAGTTTAAGCTTCCTAATTCATGTGAAGTTCAAACAGTTGGCTTTGTGTAATAGTTGGAGCAATTTGTGTACAAAGCTGATTTCTAAATACTTGCATCATTATTCATTTTTTAACAACTCAGTACCAGACATGGAAAATTTATCAAGTGACATTGTGTTCCCCAACTTATCAACACATTCCCTCTTACACACACCCTCTTCACAGCTTTGAAGTCAAAGGTCAACGTAAAGCTCAGTAAGCAACTGCATGGTGACCTCATCTATCACCTTGTCTCACTTAAAATGATTTTTATTTTATTTACTATGCAACAGAATTCACCCCTTTATATTCAGCTAGTTTTTGTTTAATGTGCCACTGCTTTGTCTTCCTATTACATATGCAATATTTTGATTTTGTTACAATATATGCTGTGCCATTTTGATTTTTATTTTGGTTAGTTGAATAAACTCATGGCACTCAAAACATTTGAGGAGAGATTTACTAAAATGATACCAGTATTTGTTCCATATCAACTGTGATAAACCTAGATATTTTTGATGTTTATCAAAGGTTTTTTATTGGGAAGAAAGTATGAAATACATGTGTGACATTTATGAGTAATGTTTGTTCTAAACAAACTTTTGAAAGCTTAGTTGACAAAATTTTGGATCAACTTAAAAAAAAGCATGACTTTTGAAATCTCTGAATGCCTTGGTTCTCAGTATTATCATTCTTCATTGAATTTATTTCTTATTAAAATATATAGTTCTAA